GCAATCTTTACGGGAGTAGAAAGCCTCCTCTTTCTCCCGTGGGATTACTCGTGGTTTCGAACTGCTCACCTTACTGTTAGCAGCCCAGCTCATGACCCACCATGCCACCAGGGCTCCTGGGTTATGATCAGTTCTATAAAATAATCTTCATTCATTTCAATATTGCTTAAAGGACTGAGCGATCAGCTTTTTGAGCTAGCTGATCTTCACACCCCACCTCCACCTGTTTTGGGGATCTTCTCCCCTCCCCCTTCCTTTTTCTTAATTTTTAAGTATCTTAACTGTGTCACTGAGAGAACCATGTTACCCATAACAGAGCTATGTTTATACATGCCTGAAATGTCTGTGTTATGCATGAACTGGAACCTTGGCAGCAATACTTTTTGACGGACTCTTTTGTACTAAAACTGTTGGGAACAACACCCAAATCTTTAAATAAAGTCTCAAACTGGAGACGGGCCATTCTCAAAATAGAGCACATATCGGGTTCCTGATGAAGGGGGCCTCGGAGGAGCATCTTCATTTCCAGAGCCCCTGGAGCCCGGGGAAGTCTCGCTAAGTGGATGGGGCGCCAAGAGGATGGGAGCACTCTGGAGGCACTGGAACCTGGAGAGGAAGGGAGGAAGTCTCCTGAATCCTTCTTGGCAGGCTTTGCATGTGTATAAATAAGAGAGACAAACAGCCAACTACCTTGTTGTAAAAATACTTATAAACCACAGAGGAAGCCTGTTCTGAGCACAGAAACACTGCAGTCTCTGCCCCTGGCCCAGGCCCAGCTAGCATCGCCTTGACACTGCACTCCAAGAGTTTTCAATGCTTGTGGCTTCTCAGAAACCTAGCCGAGCTGTATTTTCCAAGGCACCTCTGGGTAGTCTTGAACTGCCCACCTTTCCATTGAGTTCTTAACAGCTGGCTCTACCCAAAGACTCTTGCCCAGGTCTAATGCCTGCCAAAATGTGGGACTGCTGCCTTTCTCTTCACTTCTCCCAAGAGCAAGAAACACTGTGGAGAATAGAATGTAGTCATTGGTACCTGTAGACAGGGTGCTTCCAGTGAGTGCCTCCTTCCTCTCTCCACCGACAGGTGTATTCTCGGCCCAGCAGCCTCGTGTCCTCCAGCCCCCAGAGAAGCACGAGCTCAGACACCGATGGAGAACGCCCGTTCAATCTGAATGGCAACAGTGTTCCAACAGCCACGCAGGCCCTGATGACCATGTACCGGCGGCGTTCGCCCGAGGAGTTCAACCCTAAACTGGTGAGCAGCCCTCCCCCTGCGTGAAGAGCTGTCAGCAAACAGATTGAAGTCTCTCTGTAGATAGAGTCCTGTAAGCAAAGCAGACTTGGTCAAAATAAGTCACGTGGGTTCCTAGTGGTTATATGGAAAGAGACAAGATTTAGAGTGGGTCATTTCTTTTTTTTGTGTGTGTGGGGGTTGTTTTGTTTTATTTTTTAACTATTATCTTAGTCACCCCCAAATAAGTACATAATTTCTAAACTCACATAGAAAAATAAAGATTCACTTTGAACCTGGAGGTGTCGACTTAAAGCATAAACATAATCTGCATCCTTCTGATTCAATAGCCTGCAGCTGATTAAATAAGCTGGAAGTCATGACAGATGGGGGAATTGGGGCAAGACCTGCAAGAAACTTAAGTTACTCGTTCTCCCTCTCTCTCTTTCTCTCTCCCTTTGAAATTTCTGCTCTCTTGTTTCCTGTCTACTAAAAATGTATTTCCCCCTGGGCGCTCAGCAATAAATTTTGCTTTAAGGCCACCCCTGCCGAAAAGCAGCCACCTCTTTCTACTCATGGACAAAATGAGTTGTGCCGCGCACGGGGCCACTCTCTTCAGTAGGGAAAATGCTCCTGCCTGGCACCACACCTGCCTGCACCATCCTCCGATCACACCGAGATGTGCTAATGTTTCCTCATCTGTTTTCAGGCCAAAGAGTTTTTGAAAGAGCAAGCTTGGAAGATTCACTTTGCTGAGTACGGCCAAGGGATCTGCATGTACCGCACAGAGAAGTCTCGAGAGCTGGTGTTGAAGGGCATCCCGGAGAGCATGCGCGGGGAGCTGTGGCTGCTGCTCTCAGGTACGGCCTACCGGGAGGCGGCACTGCCCACCTCTGTCTCCCACCAGGTGTTCCCTTCAATAGGGCACCCCCAAGTCAGAGATTAATCTTGTTTGTTGAGTCAGTGTTGAAGTCTCTGAATTACTACTCTGCCTTGATATATAAATAAATACTGGCCTCTGGATGGTGGAGAAGTTTGCTCTCAGCTGCTAACCAAACGGTTGGTTGTTTGAATCTAATCAGTACTGCGGAAGAGAGACCTGGCAGACCCACTGCTATAGGATCGATTCTGACTCACAGTGACATCACATGGGGTTTAAATCTTACTGGAGCAGAGGGCCTCATCTCTCTTCCACGGAGTGGCTAGTAGGTTTGAACCGACAACCTTGCTGTCAGCAACTCAATGCCTACTCTATTATCATCACCAGGGTTGGGGCACAGTTCTCTGAACACACGAGGCCCCCATGAGTTGGAATTTTTTAATGGCAGACACCAACTAAGCGGAAGTCGCACACATGAAGTGCTGACTTCATGATCCCGCCCATCGCCCACGGAAAGCTAGGCTAGGGCCAAGAAAAGAGAGATTGGAGTAAAGTATAGCACTTTGATTTTTAAGTTCTCTTTTAAGTAAGCTTCCCTGGGAGTTTGTTTGTTTGTTTGTTTTGCTTAAGGTCTGCTTTTGCATTTATTGTTACATTGTTAACATGTACTTGAAGATGTTAGAAATAGATTTTTTGTTGTTGAAAATATGCACAACGGAACACATGAAGATTCCACAATTTCTACATGTAGAATTCCGTGACATTGATTGTTCAAGTGGTGTGACAATTTTCAGACTTCTCTTTTGCGTGGTCCCTTCCCTGTCAACATAAACTCGCTGTCCTCCGGACTTCCCAGCTGACCTCTCAAGTGGCTGCTGCTCCCTCAGCCCCACTAGGCAGTTCTTGAAAACGTCTTGGGCCACGCCCACAGCAGACCGTCTTTACTGAGTAAGCTAAGCTGCTATTTGGTTTAAAGAAGTCTTCAGGAGATGCTCTTGGGCTCAGGCTTCTAGATTTTCTCAGGACAATAATTTCCAGGGTGCATCCAGTTTCTATGACTCCGAAATGTCTGGGTGCCATGAGGATTTGCAATTCTGTGGAATCTTTCTCCGCATACTCATTGAGGAATGTTACAAAGGGGGGCGCCTGGTCAGAGGAGCCCTTCGTGGGTATGGGGAAGAAGGAGGAGCAGGGAGCGGGAGAAGATTCTTAATTGTTGTCTTCTCCTGAGTGCTCTGTTCATCAGCAGTGAGGCCAGAACCTGCACCAGACAGACTGCCTCCCCAGACCACAGCACACTACAATGCCAGGGGGGCTGCTAAGCAGGACATGGGGACATGTCCACGGACCCTGTGGTCCGAGTACCTCCATCTTCATGCCTGCAGACCAGGCCGGGAGATGCGGTCTAGAAACAAGAGGTCCTTTAGGCCCACCATGGCATGCTCCTATCCAGAAGCACCAGTGTGTTCCCAGGGACCTCTTCTGTCATAAGCATTAGCGCAGTCCTTTGGGCTTCACTGGGTCTTTGAATGTACGAGTCATCAGCTGTCAAAAACCCAAACCCACTGGTCCTCAAGTCTTTGCGCACCCCTGGAGCGCCGTGTGTCAGAGTGGAACTGCTCCATGGGGTTCTCAACACTGGCTGTTCCAAACTGATCACCCGACTTTTCCTCCTGGGCACCTCTGGGTGTATGTAATCCCCCATCCTCTTTGGTTATCTGCCAAGTTCATTAACTACTTCCCCCTGAGATTGACTCTTCATGTCTGGAGGACTGCAATGTAATATTACATTGCAGGTATCCTTATGGGGTAGTTTTTCTTTGCGCCTAAGATGGTCAGTGATAAATGGCATTATAAGACGTTACTGTTGAAGAAAGAAGACATGATCTTTAAAGACAGTTCATAGATGTGTGGGCTGCTGTGGTGGTGAGGTGCCTTCGAGTCAGCAGCATCTCGTGACTCATCGTAGCACTGTGTGCAGCAGAGCAGAATGCCCAGGCCTGCCCCGGCCTCACCGGTGATCTTGTTTGAGCCCATTGTTGCAGCCCCTGGGTCAGTCCATCTACTTGAGGCCTTTCCTCTTTGTAGCTGTCCCTCCATTTTACCAAGCACGATATCCTCCTCCAGGGAACGATCTCTTCTAACAACTTATCCCAAGTACATGAGAAGAAGTCCCGCCATCCTTGCCTCTAAGGGGCACTCTGCCTTACTTCTTCCAAGAAAGATTTCTTTGTTCTTTTAGTAGTCCATGGTACTTTCACTATTCTTCATCAATACCATAGCTAAAATGTATCCATTTTTCTTTAGTACTTCCTTATTCAGCGTCTCACTTTCACATGCATATAAGGCCGTTGAAAATACCATGCTTGAGTCAGGGTGCACCCCAGTCCTCAAAATCGCCCCAAAGTCCCCATTGCTTGTTAGCCTTTAAAGAGGTGTGTGCCGCAGATTTCCCCAGTGCAGTCCTTCATGTGATCTTGACCGTGGCGTCCAGGACCATTGATTGGGGGTCCGAGCCTTGACAACTTCAGGTTTTTCTGTACTGCGATACTCCCTATTGGTCCAGTTGTGAGGATCTTTGTTTTCTTTACACTGAGTCGTAATCCCTTCTGAAATCCGAAATCCTTGATCTTCATCAGCCGGTGTTTCAAGTCCTCCTCTCAGCAAGCAAGGTGTGTCATCTGCGTATTGCAGGTTGTTAATAAGGCTTCTCTCTAGTCCTGAGATGGCATTCTGCTTTATATCAGCCAGCTCCTCTGATGATTGACAGAGCATGCAGACTGAATCAGGATGGTGAGAGGATGCACCTTTGTTACAGATGTTTCCTGATTTAAAACCACTCGGTATTCCCATTTCTCTTTGTCCAGCTCCCTCTTGATCCATGTACACATTCCGAATGAGCACAATTAGGTGTCTCAGAATTCCCATTCTTCTCAAGACCGTCCTTAGTTTGTGATGATCCACCCAGCCAACTGCTTTTACACAGTCAAGAAAACCCATGAAACGTCTTTCTGGCATTTTCAGCCACGATCCATCAAATGTCAGAAATGACATCCCTGTTCCATGTCCTCTTCTGAATATAACCTGAGCCTCTGGCAGCCCCTGTCCGTGTACTGCTGCAACAGGTGCTGGATGACCTTCTGCAGTGTTTCACTTGCACGTGATGGCGAAGGTATTGTTTTAGAATTTGAATATCCCGTCCGGTCACCTTTCTTTGGAGTGGGTGCAAATACAGACTGATTCCAGTCAGTGGCCAAGTCGCTGTCTTCCCCATTTCCCAGCATAGACGAGTGAGTGACTGCTTCCAGCGCTTCATCAGCACGTTGTAACAGTTCCTGGAGCCTTTTTTCCCCCGGCTAATGCTTTCAGTTCAACTTGGACTTCTTCCTTCACGGCCATTGGTTCCTGCTCATCTGCTACATCTTGAAACGGTTGAATGTCGAGTAGTTCTTTTTGGTACTGTGACTGCATATTCTTTCCATCTTCTCGTGAGGCTGCCTGCCTCATTCACCGTTTTGCCTATAGAGTATTAAAGCTCGCAACTTGCGGCTTGCTTTTTTTTCTTGAGTTCTTTCCATAGAAGATCTGCTGACCCTGATATTCTGTTTTGGTTTTCTAACTCTATGTCTTTGCGTGTTTCATTCTAATATTTCAGTTTGTGCTCTCGAGTTGCTCTTTGAAACTTTCTGTTCTTTAACATCATTATTTCTTCCCTTTGCCTAAGCTGTTCCCTGATTAAGAAAAGGTGTTAGTCTTTTCTGACACCCCGTGTGAGCGTTTCTTTTCTGTCTTTTCAGTGTACGGTTTTACCATGTAGTGAGTTATTTTTTAGGAAAAGCTGAACGTGTTTTGTTTTGAAGGACGATCCTGTCAGTCTGATGAGATGTGAGATGACATCAATAACGTCACACCGGAACAGAGCCAAAAAAAACGTCACACACTGACCAGAAACTAGTCACCTTGGCAACCTGATTCAGACAGAATAAACAAAACATTCCATTTTCATCCTCCTTATTCAAAGGGGGAGTTATTTACAGCCACCTTTTGGATTAAAATGCACCTCACAGCGAGGCACCAGGAAGCCAGTGTACAGACAGTGCTGGTGCCGAGATGCCGTTAAAGTCACACCCAGGGCTTCCTTCCATCGTGTGCATGGGGGAGGGCAGAGGGTGCCAGGCCCAGACACTGCCCTCTGCTGGTAGGAAACGGAGCCACATTTTCTCCATTCTCCGGATGCCCTGCAATTGAAAACAGTTTCTCTTCTTGTTCTAGAACATCTTGTTCATTAAAGCCCTTCACTCACGAATTAGCCCTTCCAGAGACACATTTAAAGCTTGTTTTGAGAGGAGGAATCTCCTTTGTCAAGTGAAACTTGAAGGAAAACCCTCAAACACAAAGAGCGGCTGCCATGCCTGAAGGGAGAGGTTGGGGAGGAGGCAGCCGGGTGCCCTCTGACCCCCTCTCCTTGACTGTGTCTAAGCAGCCCTTTGGAAATGTCTCTGAGCTCCTGGGAAGCCCCTGTTGGGGGTTGGCCTGAGGTGTTTTAAATAACCAGCTTCCTGAGGGCCTGAAACCCGATGGAGACCCAGGGACGTGTGCCAGTCTAGCAGGGGTCACCACACCCCACGTCACCCCCCTATGGTTAGTATTTTACAAACAAGCCTCCCGCAGGAGGAGCGGCATCGCTCGGTACGTTGTGCGTCCAGACCAAAGGCCAGAGCGTCCCGTTTCATCGCAGTGTGTTCTGGGGGGCGCTTTCCAGGTGCCATCAACGAGAAGGCCACGCACGCCGGCTACTACGAGGACCTGGTGGAGAAGTCCATGGGGAAGTACAACCTCGCCACAGAGGAGATCGAGCGGGACCTGCACCGCTCCCTTCCAGAGCACCCGGCGTTCCAGAACGAAATGGGCATCGCAGCTCTGCGGAGAGTCCTAACCGCTTACGCTTTCCGGAATCCTAACATAGGATATTGCCAGGTAAATGCCTCCGGCGGTGTAAGCTCTGGGTGGGGGTGGGGGTGGGGGTGGAGGTCCTTCTTGGTTGTGGGCGCTGCCTTAGGCAGGGAAGCCTGTTTAGAGCCACTCTGCCCACCGGATGACAATCAAAACTGCCCTGAGATGTTGTCCCGAGCCCCCTGGTCGGGAGGGGGGCAGCAAAACCACCCTGGGTTGAGAACGACTTCTCTGAACGGAGGAACCAGAAGGCAAGAGGGACGTTGCTCTAGCTTCGTCACGTTGGAGAGTCTCTCACTCTGGGACCCACGCACGATGAGATGTTCTATTTCCACAGAGTGGCAGTCCCAGAGACCCTGCCATAGCATGAGGTTGGTTGTTTGGGCCTCGACCCTTCAGCCCACCCTGGAGTAATGGAAAGCAAGCATCGCTGTGCACAAGACCTTGAATGCCGACTTAACAAAATGCTCCTTCTTCAGTGCTCCCAAGCAAGATGGGCCTTAAGCGGAAAGCCGATCTACTATGGCTTTAGTCAGTGCACATTGGAACAGTACATGCCTGAGAACACAGACCCCACACATGAACCCATGTCACGGAGACCCGTTGATGAAGTCTTTGTTTTGTTTTTGTTTTTGTTTTTTCCTTTTTAAAATCATTTTATTGGGGGCTTGTACAACTCTCATCACCATCCATCCATCCATCCATGTGTCAAGCACATTTGTACATTCGTTGTCCTCATCATTCTCAAAACATGTGCTTTCCACCTGAGCCCTTGTACCCCTTTAGGAAGTCTTAATAGGACAAAGACAAAAGTGAGCCATCCAGATAAAGGAGACCATCGGCATGCGGCCGTAAGAGTGTCCAATGGATTCCTAGCCACGTGGCTACTTATAGAAACAAAAAAGCCAAGCTCACTGCCATCGAGTCAGTTCTGACTCACGGAGACCCTGGCAGCCCCTGGAGGTTTCCGAGACTGTAACTCTTTACGGGGTAGAAAGCCAGTCTTTCTCCCTCGGAGTGGCTGCTGGTTTCTAACTGCTGACCTTTCAGATGGCAGCCTAACGCATAACATGGAAAATCAAAGAGATTGTCACCTGGTCATGATTGGCAGTGGATTGATTCCTCAGGGACACAAGCAAGGCTACAGAATCAGGAAAGGGACCGTGTTTGGCATATGCACACTGCTTATTGGTTCTGGAGCCCTCTGGCCACCTCAGTGGGGTCATGTCTCATAACCACGCAAACCTGGTTCCCCAGTGTCCATCAAAGGCTCGCCCAGGAAAGTCCTTGAAATCAAAACTGCCCTCCACCCCCAGACTGTCCAAGGGAGTGGCAACAAAACCCACTGCCTGAGGGTGAAGCGGTATACAGTGCAGGTGCAGGTCCAAGGTCAGAAGGAAGAAGCCCTGCTAGCATGCTGGGTTTCACCTTGGGCTGCTACCCACAAGGTCATCAATTCAGCAGTTCAAAACCGCCAGCAGCTCAGCATGAGGAAGCTGAGGCTCTCTACTCCTTTAAAGTGATCGTCTTGGAAACCCACAGGGGGTGCTGCCCTATACGGTCACGACGGATGAGTCGGAGTCATCTCCATGGCAGTGAGTGTGGTTTTTTCAGTTTTTTGGTCAGGAAGAGCTCCGTGGTGGCGGAACCTATGTAGCTGGAGACTCAAACTGGACGAGGGTCCCTGCGGTAAAAGGTAGCTTTGAGCATCCTAGTGCTCGTCATGGAAGCTCTAATAGCCCACCTAAGAGTAGGTGTCATCCAACGTCTCCACTCCAAGACGACCCCACCTTTTCATGTATTCACCTTGATGTCTTTCTTCTCTCCTTGCTGACATGAGCATGTAAACCCTGTGAGGTCTGCCACCTCTCTGTTTCCCCCAAATCCCGCCAGAGCCCATTACCAGTTAGACCCCGAGAGTGGAGTCGAGGGAGGCAGTGGGGACAGGGGAGCACCAGCAAACCCTGACGGACCACCTCACGACGGGGCCCAGGTCCTGCCAGAAGCAAGCGAATAAGCAGGAAGGGTTTGAATCATGGTTTCACCTGGGGAGAGACTGAGTAGGATTTACCCAAAAGGGGCTCATAAAACAAAATGCCCTTTTTAAATCATATCCTACAGACACCTGCTGACTGATGACTGATCTCTAGAAGATCAAAGGAAGGACAGAAGTTAGTTGACTTCTAATGTCATAGAGTTCCCGCTTATCTTTTGATCGCCCTCTTTTTAATGAAGAATGCTAATAATGCCATGTGGATCCTGGATATGCTCAGTCTGCTGATGTCTCTTAATAAGCAATGCAGACTTTAGAATGTAAATCACGGTCACTCATCTCCACCATCTTTATGGAAATAACGGGTGAGGATGCCAACTTTGAATGGTTCCATTGTTGCCTGAGGAAAGCCTGGAGTGTAATCGTAATAGAAGCTTTTCTAGTTAAAAGGGGCCTAGCTACCAGGCTGATTTAAGGATTTAAAATGCTTGGAGGTTTTAGCAGGTGAAGAGCTTTGGCAACTAGCCATTGTGGAAAGTTGTTGAATGAGGGCTTGCTGGTTACGCTAGGGTTCACTGGTAAATCTTAGAGTGAATAAAGACCTGGTGGCATGGTGGTTATGTGTGGGGTTGCTAACTGCAAGATCAGCGGTTCGAGACCACCAGCCACTCCACAAGAGGAAGATGGAGCTTTCTACTCCCACAAAGAGTTACAGTCTCAGAAACAGATGCCGACCCACCCTGTCCTATAGGGTCACTGATTCAGAATTGATTGGATGGAAGTGAGTTTGGTTTGGGGTATTGGCAGTTAATAGCTCAAGAACCAGTTATTTTTACATGTTTAAGGGTCCTGAAACAAAATATTTTGAGGGCAATAATGGTTTAGTGGTAGAATTTTGGACTTTGATGTGGGAGATCCTAATTCACTTAGATCAGAAGCTATTGCACCTCAACTGCAGCTACTGTCAGTGGAGACTGGCGTGTTGCTGTGAGCTGAATGGGTTTCAGAGGTGCTTCCAGATGCAGGTAGAGGCAGAAGAAAGGCCTGGCCACTGCGCCCCGGTGCCCGTGAGGGAAAGCCCTGTGGGAGTGGCGCAGAAGTGGGTGGCGCTCCATTCCTTGGTGCACGGAGCCCCTATGAGTTGGGGGCTGTGGCTCGGGTTCAACTAACAGCAACCACCGAACAAAACAGCAGACGGTGTGACAGACAATCTCGCTGCAGAGCCTCAAACACTGCCTGTCCGGCTTTCTCCAGAACAAGGTGGCTGACCTCTGAGAGACTAACTCAGCCACTCTGCTAAGCTAACGGACTCGCTTCCATGTTAACTTTCTAACGTGTGTGTGGTGGCAACCTCTCTTGTCCCTCTAGGCCATGAATATTGTCACGTCAGTGCTGCTTCTCTATGCCAAAGAAGAGGAAGCTTTCTGGCTGCTGGTGGCTCTGTGTGAGCGCATGCTTCCCGATTACTACAACACCCGAGTGGTCGGTACGTGGCGCTGGGTCTGAGGAGGAGCAGGTTTCCAGAGCAGGGCTACCCACGGGAACTGTACCCAAGCCTTTTGATTGCTAGAGTTTTCCAAAATGGAAATGAGGGTAAACACAGGTTTACGAGAGGAGCCTCATGGAATGCATGACCACGAACGTGCATCATGGCTGTAGAAATCACTTGAGAACACATGTGAGCTGGGTGGCCCACTCTCGGACACGTGAGAGCTACGTCGAACACACTAAGCGGCGTCAGCATCAAGCATTCAGATGCAGGCTCTTCAGTGGGAGGGATGACACTGCCGAGAGCAGCGGTCAGCTAGCTAGGCAGTAGTGAAATAGGTGAAATAGTGCCTGCCAGATGTGGGTGTGGTGATACTTTCTTTTAGAAGAATTCATGCCAGACTAGTCCCAAGGCGCTGGAGATTGAAGATGTCCCGGATGTCCAACTCTTCCGAGATGCTGTTCTGCTCCATTTCCCCTCCCTCCTCCCTGGAGTGTCTTCTCTCCCATCCCTGGGTTCTGTGATTGGCTGCAACTTCCCCCAGAAACCTATGAGACTCGGAGGAAACGTCCCACGTGGTGATGGGCGGTGCTGTTCTCTCACAAGTTAAAGGTCAGAGAGGCTAGTCAAATGCAGGGTCTAGAGCCAGAAGCCAAAAATGTCTCCTCGCTTCTACGAAAGCTCAGTCAGGAAATAAAGGCAAGACGTTTCAGGTGATGTGGTGAGAAGAACCGTGTGGAGGTACACACCCCATCCAAGGGATAGGCAGTCTTAAAGATGCCCCCACGGAAACGAAAAGCATGGCTTGGTTCACACCCTCTGCAAGGTCAGGTGCTAATGCCTCCCTGATCCGGCCCATTGGTCTGGTAGACTGCGCCCTCCAAAATGGGATGACAGCCGCCAAGGTAGAGGCCAGAATTAGAATACACTGGATACGGAATTATGGCTAGAGGGGGGCGTGTTAATTGAGAACAGCTCACTGGCCTCATTATAAAGCAAGCAATTACTCTATTTTGAGCAAATTATTACTGCTCTTCCATATACATGCCTCAAGTGCTAGGCGTTCATTTTAGCAGGACCACCTCTCTGTTGCTCGTGTAGGAAAATGTGTGCTGTACCCGCTTGTGTTCTGCCTTCGGTTCTAAACCGCTGGCACACGATTTTGGTACAGAGACTGTGGTCCCCGGAAATGGCAGTAACTTGGGTGAATTTTTACCATGCGCTTGTCGGTTAGAATGCTTATTATTATTATTATGCCCCTCTTTTTTCACTTTTTTGAGAGAATGTTTTGAAGGTTTAAGAAACAAGATGTAGTTCACATATAGGGACTGTGTACTCAGAAGGAAAATAGATTTTTTAAAACCTTGAACACATGTATACAGACAACATCATTCTAGCTATTTGGAAGTACAACTCGGTATTAAGTTCATTCACAAGGTTATTCACAATTATCACCTGTATTTTTCCCAGAACTTTTCTGTCAACCCAAATAGAGACCTTCAACCCACTGGAGCTCTGGTGGCAGAGTGGGTAATGTGCTGGGCTGCTGAATGCCAGGCCAGCAGTTCAAAACCATTCGAAGTTCCACGGAAGCAAGACGAGACTTTCTACTCTCATGGAGAGTTGCAGGCTCAGAAACCCACAGGGGCAGGTCTAATCTGCCCTAAAGGGTCACTAGGAGTCAGAACCGACTCACTGGCAGTCAGGGTATCTTCCTGCCCCTTTAATTATCACTCGCCATTCTTCTTGCCCCTAGCCTTGGCAGCCACCTATCAGCTGTTTCTAAAGATGTTCCTATTTTTGAAATTTATTTTAAATGGAATGATACAGTCTGTGGCCTTTTGTGTCTGGATCCATTCACTTAGCGTGTTTTCAAGGTTCATCCATATCACAGCGTATGTCTGTACTGTATGGTTGAATACTATCCGTATGACCATATTGACTGACTTGTTTCTTCATCAGAAGTATTTAGATTGTTTCCAGCTTTTGTCCTATTTCAAATAGTTTTGTTATGGACACTCATATATGAGTGTCTTTATAAGCATAAGGAGCCCTGGGGCGTAGTGGTTATGCATTGGGCTGCTAACTGCAAGGTCAGCAGTTTGAAACCACCAGCTGCTCCATGGGAGAAAGATGAGACTTTCTTCTCTCAGAAGCCCACAGGGCAGTTGAACCCTGTCCTGTAGGACCCCTAGGAGTCGGTATCGACACGATGACAGTGAGTTTATGTCAACAGAGATCTTCAGTGCCCCTGGTTCCCTACCAAAAAAAAAAAGCAAATATGGTAAATATATATTTAACTTGCTGAAAAAATTGCCAAGCCACATTAATTTTAAAATAAAGGTTTTCCCAATAATAAGTGGTTGGAGCGAGACATTTCAGGCCTAACCAAATGTTACATTGGCTGCAAAATAATTGACTGTCATAGAATCTTGGAGCAACTCTTATTCTGAGCAGGTGAGTGCTGCCTACTGGGTAGGGCAAGCAGGCCGGGATAAGCACCGAGAGCGAGAGAAGGGGCCGCCTGGCAAATCTGGTGACTACGCTGCATGGAGTGGTTGACCCCTTCATCCCCTAACACAGACTGTCCCCTGGTACCGCACTTAGCAGTGAAGAGCAAGAACTCTTGTCTCAGCAGAGACAAACGCTGTGATCTGGAGGGTGACGGTCACTGCGTTTGGTTGTGACTGATCAACCTCCGCCGTTGTCTGTCCCTGTGATGCAGGCGCTCTGGTGGACCAGGGCGTGTTCGAGGAACTGGCCCGGGACTATGTGCCGCAGCTCTACGACTGCATGCAGGATCTGGGCGTGATTTCCACCATCTCCCTGTCTTGGTTCCTCACGCTGTTTCTCAGCGTGATGCCCTTTGAGAGCGCGGTTGTGGTGGTCGACTGTTTCTTCTATGAAGGAATCAAAGTGATCTTCCAGTTGGCCCTGGCTGTGTTGGACGCAAACGTGGACAAGCTGTTACACTGCAAGGATGACGGCGAGGCCATGACTGTTTTAGGAAGGTAGCTCCCTCAACCCTGTTTGAAAAACCACCCTGTACTTTCCGCCTGCATTTTCTCGTGGGTTTCATGGTAATCCTGGTGCCCGCTTCCTTCTGGGAGTAACGATTGACCCGCATTTCCATATGCTTTGTATCTAGAAGTTAAGTGAATGTTGTAGTGTTCCTGCGGGGAATTCTAGACTTGTCTTTGAAGAATGCTGACCGGAAGTGGGGAATCCCATATTCGTCTCCCAGGACTGCTGATTCTCTTCTCCGCCCAGGTACTTAGACAGCGTGACCAATAAGGACAGCACGCTGCCTCCCATCCCTCACCTCCACTCCCTGCTCAGCGACGACGTGGAACCTTACCCCGAGGTGGACATCTTCAGACTCATCAGAACCTCCTATGAGGTAGGCGAGGACATCCCAAGGAGACTGCGGGGACTCAGCTGGGTGTGGTGTCGAGCATCCCCATCATGGGAATAGGTCCTCCCTTGAGTGTGCCTGACTCTTCTTGCATGATGAGAGCCGTTTCCAGAAAGGCATCAGCTATCTGCCAGTAGCCAGCCATTGGCCCCTAGTTTGGAAATCAGGCCTGGGCACTGACCAAGTCTAGGATTTCCTGTCGTGTGGTACTGTGACAGTCAATGGCATGAAAAGCTCTGACCCTCTAGCTCTTTGCTTTGCCCACCTTGGAGCCAGACCCTGGACGAGCTCTGATCCATCTCTGGGTGGGATGAGGCGGGGTTGGTGAGGGCCAGCACGGGGATGGTGACTGTGCAAGTCCGCTCACTTCCTGAGGCGCCAGCACTTAGGTCTCCTCTGAAGCAGACGAGCTAGTCCTGTTCCATCGCCGGGAACCAGAGTCCTAGCATTTCTGTGGAGCTGCTAGGCCTGCAGCTGGGTGTGAGTGAGGGTGTGGTCAGCAGTGAGCCCAGGCGGAGCCTGATCTGATGCTGAATCCCCGAGTGGAACGGAGGGACCTCTGGAGGTGAGGGGGCCACAGTGTCCAATGCTCCAGAGCCTGTGGCAGTTTGTAGGACTCCCAGGACTCTGAACCCCTGAATGCCAGACGGTTGGCAAGCCCCCTCGCCCCTTGGCTTGGCAAGCCTTCATCAAGACAACCCTTTGCAAGGAGACAGAGAAATACTCTGCTGAGCACACCTTGTCCGGTCTAGGTGCTGGGGATGCGTGGCTGGGGATGGGCTGCCTTCCACCCCGCAGCAACCAAAAGAGAACTGGGGAGAGAGGAGAGGAGGTCAGGAAAAGTCTCTTTTGGAGACAGAAATTTAGGGCTTAAAAAAACAAGCAGCCCAGAATCTGAATGCTTCACTCCTAATGGAAGAAAGACTGGTGATTTATGGGGTTTGTTTGTTTGTTTGTTTTACTGTTCTTTGAGACTATGCAAATTAAAACCAAAACATTTTTAGTTATATCTTAAGATCATAGAAGTAATACCTGCCCATTGTGCACTTGCAGATACTGTAGAAAACGGGGGATGAAAGCCATCAACAATATCGATGAGCATTTCATCATGTTTCCCTCCAAGTTTTTTCTCATATATGCCGTGTACATTTAAAATGTGAAGTCCTATTAAATACTGCTTTGTCACATTATTTTCACTTAAACTAGCCCAGAAGTACTCTGCAGTGCGTTAGTGTTGTCTGAAGACATGATGTTAGGAGATTCTTAGTGTCCTGCTTTGATGTGGTCCTAACATTTATTTAACTTAACAGTTCCTTTTTGTGAGATGTGCTCAGTATTTTCAAATACTTCCACATTTTCCGTTCGATTGGGCATTCTATGATAAATTTGTACACAAACATCAAAACTCTGATTATTGCTTTAGAGTTCTAAGGATGATTTCCAGCGATAGAGCCAAACTATGGATTAGCCCCAAGTTCCTAACACACATGGAAATTCCATAAAGGCTGCCCCAGTTTATATTTTTATTGAGAGAGACTGAAAATGGTTGCTTCACTTTATTCTCTCCGCAGGATTATTCTCATAATACAGTGTTTAGTTTATGTACGTTTACTCCTGGCGCCAGCAGTCTTGGATCATACTTTATCACAAATTCTATATGATAATTCTTCCAGAAAGAGAGACCACGGGGTTACAGACAGCAGTTACAATTACGCCTGTGGGCTTGTTTTTCTAAAGGCAAACCCAAGACCTTGATTGTTAAGAGCATTCTGGATCAAAGAAATCGTACTTACTGTAAGGAAACGTGGGCTCTGTGCTTGGCGTCAGTAGGTAGCCCGGCGTGCCGCCACGGCCCGCGCTCTGCCGGTTAAAACTGGAGGAGGAGAGCGTGGAGACCAGCCTGGGTTCCCTGTACCTGCTGTCTGGCTGAGTTTTCATGGTGAGGACAGTTGCCATCTTCCAGGTTTATTAGCTCAGCTCCTGTGTGCTTCATCAGCACCACCCTGCTCCCCTGTCCTGGGGCTCTCCATTTCCTTCTAGATCAATCCAAAGAAGGCACCACGAACTCCCACCCTTCTGGGAGCCCTGCAGTACTGTGCCTGGGTGGTGGGGTGCTAACTCTGTATCAGCCGTTTCAACCACCACTTGCTCTGCAGGAGAAGAAGGCTGTCTGCGCTGGTCAAGAGTCATAGTCCCAGGTGCTTCACTTAACGTCACTGTGAGTCAGAATCAGCCTGCTGGCAGCGGGTCCGCTGAGATCGTCCGAGCAACCCTGGAGGTCAAAGTAGGAATGCTCCATAGTGTTCGCGCAGGCTGTCCATCTTTACAGGACCAGACAGCCTCTGTGTTCCCCCTAGGAGCGTCTGCTGAGTTTGAACTAGCGACCTTGTGGTTACCAACCACATGCCTAACCCACTGTCTATGGTTGTCAGTTCTGACGGTGCACTAAAATCGCCTGCAAAGCTTTTAAAAGTATAAATTCCCAGGCCCCATGCCAGACTAATTAAAACTAAATCTCTGGGCATGCAGCCCAAGCATTTAAAATAAATAAATAAATGATGTGCTTCCCAGATGGTTTTAGCACCAAAGCCATCAAAAGTTTGACCTTGATCCTGGAGGCCGGTGAGGGCTGGAAAGCTCGACCTTGATGCCGAGCGGGCCTCTGACGGCAACTGTGGACTGGGGTTGCTCTGACTGTATGTTCTGAGGTTTAAAGCACCTCTCTACTCTTTGCACATCAGGATGATTCGTTCTGAAAACAAAACAATTGGGAACAAAATCCGGCAAGCGCTTCTGCTTTTGTGATCCGGTCAAGGTTGGTGGAGATGCCTGAAGTCATTGGTCAGGGTTAGCCTGATGGCCAGAGATGGGGGCATGACTTTATGAATGCCCTGAGGGCAACCATCCTGCAGGTCAGTTGTCCCAAGCCCCAATTGTGCGGCCGTCCTGAGAGCTTCCTGCCTGCGTGTGCCGTGTGTGCGAGGTTGTGTGCTTTGAGCGTTCCCTAAGAAGTGGATAAGAGGCCCTGCGGGGCACAGTGAAGGGCTGGACAACAAACCCAAGAGCCTCGTCTGGTTTCCTGCCGAGCATTTCCATGTTCGGCCCAGGTATCCTGAACGCGAATCCACAGTTTTCACAATGTCCTGAATAAAGTTCTAGAATTATAAAATCCTATTATGTTTTTCAAAACTCACTGCCATCACGTCAATCCCGTCTCATAGCAGCCCTTCCAGGACAGAGGAGAAATAGGCCCTGGGTTCCTA